AAAATAATAGTTTAAAATGCCTCTAGTTTTATTAAACAATGAATTGAAATGTGTATTAAAAAAAGTATTCAATAAACAAAATAAAAACGGTTTTAAATAAGAATATATCAAAATAGTAAGTAATTAAAATTAAATCAACTTGAATATTATTTGAATTTATTTGCAGGTCCACCAGCTACCATTGAAGTGGACATAATGGTGCGCAGCATGGGCCCAATCTCAGAAGTGGATATGGTAAGCTACATGATAGCTACAAGTCTTTAACGTATAGCATATATAAGCTTAATGCCCTCACATCAAAGTCCTGTGCACGCACAGCCAGTCAAGAGTCAAGCTGAAGTCAGCGAACAAATGGCTTGAACACCTTCTGGCTGCGTTCGCCACATTCAATAAAAGACGGCATTTCAGCTCTGATTCCGTTGACTATGTCCTTTGCAGACGTACTCGATGGACTGTTACTTTCGACAATCCTGGGTGGATAAACGACTCGCCTTCGAGGGTGCCCAGGACACGCTGGCGCTGTCAGTGTCAATGCTGGCGCGCATCTGGAAGCCGGATACGTATTTTTACAATGGCAAACAGAGCTATTTGCACACGATAACCACGCCGAACAAGTTTGTGCGCATCTATCAGAATGGCCGTGTCCTCTACTCCAGTCGTCTGACAATTAAGGCAGGCTGTCCCATGAATCTAGCGGATTTTCCCATGGACATACAGAAATGTCCGCTCAAGTTTGGCTCATGTAAGTGAAAAATGAATTGAATAAAAACACTAAACAGCGCTGCGGTTTAGGAGCGGAAGGGAGAGGCGGGGAGGGAGCAGAGAGGAGGTTAAGCATATGGCTGTGCTCTGGCATAATTATGCATAATTGATGCTTATGGCGCTTTGATGCGCCTTCCGACAGCCATATTAATGGCATGTCCGTGACGACCACTTGTTGGAAGGACAATAATGCACAAGTATGTGTGTGTGTGTGTGAGTGTGGATGGGTAGAGGGCTCAAGCAGGGATCATGACATTGAATACGATTGTGGGCAAAAATGTTTAAGTAAAAGGGTTTTCGAATGCGGTAAGGCAGATCTGGTTTCACTTGAAATCATAATATTAAAATCTTTGCTGTTTAGATTATAGATATGTCAGGGAATTCATAATTCGTTGTTAAATCAATTTTATGTCATAAGCCTTCATAGCAAACAAAAACTCTTAAGTACCTTATGGCCCGCTTAGGAATTCTTGCATATGTTCGTCTTTCAAATATAAAAGAATCGTATATGAAAATTATATTTATATTTATATCATATATATATAGCACAAATATCAAGTATTTATCATATAATGTATGCCCACAATATATAAGCCTTGCTATAGAATTTTCAGCTCGAGCTCAGCTCAACTCTTCTTCTCTGGATATAACATTTCCAGAGCCTGTCCTAAGCAGCTTAATGCCTCTGTCATTTCCTATGCTTCTTAATGCTACTTTATTCAGCTCTACTAGCCATACTATACCATATATAAACTAAATATTCAGTCTGCTTTTGTTATTACACCTCTGAATATATGCAGGTGACATTTCAATTATTCCTGCCAAGCTAAAAAAAAAAAAACGAAAGCTGACGTTGATGTATTTTCAACACACAATTTTCTAGCTTCTTTTATTTTATTTGTTACACATGCAAAATTGAAAATCTAAAAAGGTTCTCTTCTCCATTTGGCCGGAATGTAGGCGAGCTGTTAGCAGTTAACTGCTATCGCAGGGCTAAATTAACAGACACCTTCGACTACAGTTGGTGTTATTGCTTCCGATTTGCTGCGAATAATGTTGCATGCAGTCGAGGATTCAATTATCGCCCCAAATTCTCTGCTGTTATTGCCCGCCACCTAATGTTGACAATTTCCCATTTGATGTGATGTCGAGTCACTGAAAATATTGACAGTCAGCGGAAAGTAGCCGAAAAAAAGAAAATTACATTTATACACATATACATACATATATCTGTATATATGTATATAAACCAATCCGCAGTGTTTGGCAATTTGTGCAGCAGCTAGGCGACAACAACAACAACAAATAAAATATCTGGCACGTGCGCTGATAGCAAAGTGTGGGCGCTGTGGGTGCTGGAGGAGCTGTAGGAGTTGCTCTGGGAAATTGGTTGTATGAATGGCACTGAGGAAACTATGATGCACTGTGATTTAACTAGTCTGGTCCTTTATTCACTCACTTTTTCAGTGAACTGTTATTGTCGTAAGTAGTTGAGGAACTCAAAATGAAGCGAGAATTTATATATAGCATTTACAATTAAGAGACCAATATAGAGGCATGTAAAAGATTTTTGCAAAGAGATTTCGGTAATTTATTCCGTTTCGCTCTCCACGTTGGCATGCCTATATTTACCCTAGAGTAAGTTCTATAAGTGCAATTAATAGAAATAAAGTTAATTTAGTAGAAACAATTTACGAATCAAAAATAATATACCACTAACCATAAAACACATGCACAAAAAAAAGTGTTAAAAACGATTTACACTACGTGTCAGGTCTATTTTTTCTATGATTAGTGCTATTACTCTGAAATCGAACAAAGAATAATCTACAATTATACAAAGCATATGACCAAATCATGCAAAAAGTTTCTTGGAAAAACTTTTGGTCTTTGAAATAATTTAACTTTTTTGTTAAAATTTTTAATTTAATAATTTATATTAATTTTCCTTCTTCAATTTACTTGATATTTTTTAAAATTAATACATCAAAAAAATCTTTTATCTCTTATTGATAGTCAATTTTATACCGTAAAAAGTCTTAGCAAATAAAATTGATTTATAGTTGGAAAATATGTACATATATCAAGTCATTAAATAGGAGAAAAAACCATTAATAATTTTCTCATATACAAAGCAAAATATTCGAGCATAAATTCAGCGGAAATGCTATTTGTGAAATTATTGGGAAATAAACGAGCAGCTCTAAAAGTTATATAAAAAGACAAACCACATTTAATAATAAAAACTGGAAAATTTAATGACAAACTGCAAACGTTCATGGGTTCCACTCAGACCGCTGCAGCAATCTCTATTGGTTAGATATTTTTTAATTGACAAAATATGAAATGAAAAAAGAAAAAAAAAAAAAAACAAAAGAGCAAATCTTACCCACATATTGCACTTGCAAACATTTCACACACAGTTGGCTATACCACGTCGGATGTCATTTATCGCTGGAACAAAGAGCGTCCGGCAGTTGCCATTGCGGAGGACATGAAATTGTCCCAATTCGATTTGGTCGATTGTCCGGCGGGTAATTTGACGGACATTGTTTACAAGGCAGCGGCACCGATGCCGCAGAGCTACAATAACAAGGACACGCTGTCAACCAAACAGCCACCCAGCAGCAGCAGCACCACCAACACCCTCACCCACACCCACAGCAACAGCAACAGCAACAACAACAAAGTGTTGACAACTTTCGCTGGGCCGGGAGCCAAAAATCAACATGTCCGCGGCACGGGCTTGAAGCTAGACAAAGGCGCATTTGGCTCGGGTCGCGGCATTGCCGGCGGCGGGGGTCTTGTCACTAATCTGGCCGGGAGCATCAGCCTGGAAACCCATCATCCATGTAAGTTGTCAGTTTAGCGCTCTGGCTTGCAGCTGGTAATCCTTTCATATCTCTGTCCACAGCGGAGTACTCCATGCTGATGGTGAACTTCCATCTGCAGCGGCACATGGGCAACTTCCTGATCCAGGTCTATGGGCCGTGCTGCCTGCTCGTGGTGCTCAGCTGGGTCTCCTTCTGGCTGAATCGTGAGGCGACGGCGGATCGCGTTTCGCTGGGCATTACCACGGTGCTGACGATGACGTTCCTGGGCCTGGAGGCGCGCACGGATTTGCCCAAGGTGTCGTATCCCACCGCTTTGGATTTCTTTGTGTTCCTCTCGTTCGGATTCATCTTTGCCACCATCCTGCAGTTCGCAGTGGTGCATTACTTTACCAAATACGGGTCGGGCGAGTGCTACTTCATCATCGAGGAGCTGGACACGGATTCGGTAGAGTCCGAAACGGACATGGACGCCAGTGGCCAGTCGGATTTTCGCGGCAGCAGCGAGTCCAAGATCTACGAGGTCATACCGCTCTCCATGTGCGCCATCAGCATGCCAGCGTCGGGCGGCAGTCGGCTCGGCATGCTGCACTCCAGACGCACCACGCGCAACCGCCGCCACGGCCTGGGACGCTTCAGCCTGTGGCGCTGCCTGGAATGGCTCGGCTGCCGGCGGCGGCAGCGACGTCCGCCGCGCAAAGCCACCTGCTCCGACGAGGAGGAGGAGGACGACGAACAGACTCAACTGCGTGCCGATGAGGCGCCCTGCACCTCGGCAGCAGCTGCAGCCGCCGCAGCCGCTGCATCCTCGGCTGGCCAAAGCTCGCCGCCCCATGTGGGCCGGCGTCGCATGTCCTTCTACAGGCGCGAGGAGATGGAGGCGAGGCGCAAGGGCAAACGCACGCCCCAATACAATTCGGTGTCGAAAATCGATCGCGCCTCCCGGATCGTATTCCCATTGCTGTTCTTCCTGATCAATGTGTTCTACTGGTATGGCTACCTGTCGCGCAGCTCACGCATCTTGGCCAACACGCAGACGAGCACCTGATGTTACCTTTTAGCAATTTAGACACAGTCCTCAAAAGAAATCAGCGTTCCACAGAGGCAGCGGAGGATCTAGAGCAGGGGCAATGGCAAGGATGTTTATCAAGTATACATATACATTGAATATATGATCTATGTGTGGGAATTTCGGCTTCAGTTATTTGCTCTTAACCTGATTTGCTACCAACTACTATGAACGCTTTACACGATTTCTTTTCGCGCTAAATTGCTAAATATTTCAATGCAAAACTTACATATCACAGGACTACAATTTGTAAATATATATACATCGGGCATATGCCATATAGATCATATGTGTATATGCCATGTGTATGTATAGCTCGAGTGTCAATATTATTTGTACAGTTAGCCTATAAGTTGCCAGTTCTTGGAGCTTTTAAATGCTTAGTTAGACAACAAATATAATGGCTATTTCTAATAAGTTCTATAAATATTCAATAATATATACATGTGTATATATATGTATTTATGTATAGATTTCTGTATGTATATTAATATACATATATACAGCTGCGGTTATCAAAATAATAGTGCGACTGAGCACGAAATGTTGGAGAAGAAAAACCTAGTGATAAGCTCAATATTTCGGAAAAAAACTGTAACGAATATTAAGATTAACAAATATTGTATAGTTTATTATTGCAGTACAATTTTGATGACCGTTGCTGTATTTTATATAAATACATATATAAATATGTGTGTATGTGTTTATTTATATATGACTGTAGCATTGTTTAGTTCACATTTATCTAGTTAAGATTTTGTTGTTGATCTCCACATATGTGCTGGATATATAAAAAGAACAAACTAAAAAGTACAGAACTTAGTCGGACTCAACCGACTGCATAATACTTGTTCATGTTACAAAAGCAGTTAAATTCCAGTAAGAGCTATCATTTTCCGTTTACCTATCTAATTGTAAAATTATAGAAGATTTGATTTGTTTCCCAAAGGGGCTTATACATATATTTAATGATATACCTATATCATTTTGATCAATCGAGAGATTATTTGAGATTCTAGGAATAAAACTGTCAATTATGCTGTTTTTTTACGTCTCTCCACGCCTCCAAAAGGCCGTTCCTACATTTATACCTTTATTTTAAGACCCTATCTCTATAATGAGTCTCGATATATAGTAAAATTAATGCTAATATAATAATTCCCATGTTGATACTTACCTAAAGTGAACGGATACACAATTTTCGTCAGTCTATAGAGAATGCCAGTTGTTACTCACATTTCTCGGATATTATGAGATTGAGTCTATGCAAAAACCGAAAGACACAGTTTATTCAGTTATTTCAGTAAAATATGACAGTAACACGGGATTCCATTACAAGTTAGGAAGTTACTCCAGTCTCTAGCTACGCATCATGAATGAGTATTAAAGCAAATAACAGTTGCTTACTAATACGTAAAGTCAAACGCATAAACTATTGCTAAAATGAATGCACAATACTATAGCATAAAGAATAACAACTATTATATAAATATACAAATATATGTTTATTTTGATCAAACGGAACAAATAACATTATGTAAATAACAAAGTCATATGCATTTCAATTACAAGCCAACTCGACTATGGGATAAATGGATAACGCTTGTATCACAGATAAGATAATTGCTGATAAAGATTAAGTTATCATATCCGATATTGATTAGCACTCGTCGATACGCTTTATTGACAATGCGTAAATGGTTCAAATATATGACAATAGATTGCCCAATTGGGGTAGATAAACATCTGGCTTGGGCAGCTCGGGATTCCCATGCAAAGTTTCCAATTGATAGCTGCCGGTGCCCACTAAAAGCGATTGCAGATTGCAGTTTCTGGCAAAGGTGACATCGACTTTGCAGCTACAAAGTGAAAGAAATGACATTGAGCGACATTAAGCAGAGATTATATTGTCTCCTCTCACTCTCTCTCTCCCTGTCTTACCAATCGCCTATCATTAGCGTACGCTCAGGCTGTAAAGCAGCTGCATTGAGCAGCGGCTCTAGAACTAAGGGATTCGGTTTGCCCATATCCAGCGCCATGCGTCCCGAACACGTCTCAATTGCAGCAACAAATGCGCCAGTTCCGGGTATATGAACAGACGGATACTTGTGCACCGCATCCTTGTTGGTGACGAGGAATGCGCAGTCTTTGTTGCTGCACAGCAGGTGACAGGCGCGCGCCATTTTACAGTAGCTGAAATGCTCATCCCAGCCAACAACGACGGCGCCCACATTGCCAGTCGCTGCGGGCTGCTTCAACTCCCGATTTACGAACTCCTGCCACTTGTCATTGGGCTGCAGCAGCTCTGGTTGGCCAGCGCCAAAACTTTGAATGCCCGCTTCAGTTAGTGCTCGCTCAATAGCCGCATTTCCAACCACATAGACCCGCTGGTCGCTTGTCATGTGCTGTTTCAGATAATCGACGATTGTTTGCGTGGGTGAGATGATATGCGACTCATTGGGCAACTGGAAGCCCAGACGTTGGGCTCGCTGCCAAATTTCATGGCGCGTCTTTAGGCCATTATTTGTTATTAAATAGACGCGTTTGCCGGCACGGGTCTGCAAGGCATTCAACACATCGGCGGCACCTTCAATAGCCTTGTCATCATGCCACAGCGTACCTGATCAAACAATATTTACGAAGTAATAAAACATGTATGTATACATATTCAAAGCATTGATTTCGATAAAGAGCATCTTTAAAGTTCTCTCTCACTGTCTCTCATATGCCCCCAACATCATCGATACAGATATCGATATACAACTTCTCAAAAGTTAGGTGGCAGCGCTGTAAGTCTAAGATCTCTCTGCTTTTCACTCTCTCACTCTCACTCACAAACGCACATACTTGAAGACTTACCGTCGCAATCACTCATAATTGTATCAAAGCCTTGCAACCAGCTGTTCACCTGCTCAGGCTGGAGATCTAACAAGTTAATTGCCTTTGCTCTGAACATTCTATAGTCGCGAACGAGTTGACACTGCTGCCTGCTTTGGCGTGTGTTTGTTTCTTAACTGAGCGCGAACTAGTGCTGCAAAAATATCGGATCGGAATCGTTATAATCGATATTTTCGAATTTTGGCAAAAGATCGATATGGTTTTCTTAGTATCGATATATCGAAAAATGGTTATTCTTGGCGTTGGTTTTAACTGTGTAAGAAGCGCATTTATTTAATTTTGCTAAATTGTATACAAATTGATTGATTTAATTTAATTGCAATAGAAAGAAAAAAANTTTTTTTTTTTCAAACTGCCATGGAGGCAATTGTTTTTGTTATTATTATAATATAATTTTAAGGAGCATAGTGAATTTAAGCTTTAATGAATTGCTGTTTTAGGTTTAAGTTAATGAAAAATAATTTGTTATACGACTTTGTTCGGTTGAATAAATTTGTTTTTGTTTGATGCTGTTGCTTTTATTTTAATCTTGAAATGGTTGCCATTTTATCCATTAAGAAGTCATAATTAATATAAATATTATAATAGATTCTAAGCAAGAAAATTAACATTTAAAAGAAGTGTTCGATATATCGTTTTTATCGATCTTTTTCTCTGAAAATATCGTGAATATCGATATTACGGAATATCGATTTTTTTGCAGCACTAGCGCGAACTGAGCGAATCATCGTGATTTTTAATATTATGCTGTCTCACTCAAGCGCTTGCGCTACAAATTAAGATGGATGGGTATGTTGACAACAGCAATCAGTTTGCAAACAAATTTGTAATTTTATTGTAAATTTTACTATACACCTGTGTAATGCTTTTGTTTAAATCAAGTGCTGTCTGTTAATAATATTAAGTTTACTAGTGTCCCTGAGCGGAATACATAAACTGAATAAAATTTGTCAAACATATATATATATATACAGTATATATACAAATTAATAGCGTCCGTGTGTAATCGAATCGATAATTGCTGGCAGTAGATCTCCCAATTTCGGTATGTACATATCGGGTATTAGTTTTTTGTCGTCGGGGTTTTTGCTATTCCTCCATTGAGCCACATCATTCATAGAATGAATGCCCGTTCCGACGAGAAGTGTCTGAAATCCACAATTATAGCCCAGGAGAATATCCGTGTTGGCCCGATCACCAATCATTAAAGTTCGAGACGGAATGATCTTTTTTTGCTTAATCAATGACTGACAAATGGCCGGATTAGGTTTTCCAATCACAATGGGTTCCCTCTCCGCACACGTTCGAATAGCATTCACAAAGCTGCCACTGCCCGGAACAACCATTCCTGGCATAGGGAAACGTTCATCTGTATTCGTTGCAATGAACAAGCACTTCGGGTCGCTGAGATAGGATGCCGCTTTCGTCATTTTCGGAAAGCTGAAATGCTCATCAAAGCCAACAACAACGGCCCCAATATCCGGTTCTACAGTTAAATGCTTTGCCATGAATTCACCCAGTGGGGCCTTCATTACATCAGGGCCAACGCCTGTGTGTTTTATTCCAACTGCATCCAGTTCCTGTGCAATTCCCGGGGATCCAATAATATAGACGCGCTTGTCAAAATTGCGATTCTTCAGATAACTAGCCGCTGCATGGGCTGTCGCTATGATGCCCTCTTCGGTGATATTGAACCCCAGATCAATGCCTTTCATAAGTAGTTCTTTACGTGTTTTTGTCGAATTATTTGTGCAAAAATAAATGCTCTTTCCCATTCCTTTTAAGTAGTTTATCGTCTCTGGGGAGCCGGGTATAACATTTCCGTACACCCACAGAACGCCTGCATGATTGAAATTAAAATCATTTGGAGTTCAAAGTTCATTTTGTCTTATAAGAGATTGATTTAAATGATTTCAAATAATAAAAAAATATGTTCTACATTAAAGGAGCTTTAGAGAGTCGTACTGGCCGCACCCTTATGACATTGTAATTTGACATTGAATTTTGCGCGGCCTCACACACACACACACTCATACAACTACATAATTCGTTTGCGTGTTAATTTTGACATACGACTACAACAAAATGTGACGTGATTGACTCTATTTAGGAAGTAGGCTTTTCATTCAAAAGTATGTGCCTTATTACGCAATTCAAATTGGGTCAGAATCCTTCATTCATAACTTGACACACTCACCATCGCAATCGGTTATAACGGAATCGAAGCTGTCAAGCCATTTGTTGACCTCTACAGGTGAAAGGCTCAGTAGGTTGGTGCACGTTTGTTTATACATTTCGTTCGATTTGTTTTATCAGATGAATAGACGGTGTTAGGACTAGAACCTTTCAATGCCCGCGTACTACTGCAGGCTATCTACTAATTACCAAATTTCAGCCACTGATAATTTATTTATGTATATCTATTGAGCTGATGCGTTTTCGACAGTGTGGCAGCACTATCACTTATCAGCTGACATGTTGACGACGCACAGCTGTTCACAAACTACTGTAATTTTTTGGTATTTTTAAGATTATCAAGTCAGCTGTTAAACAAACCCAGCCAACTGTTGGCTACCAACAATTCAAAAAGACAAATTTTGCTTACAGTTTCAAACTTTTAAGCCGTTTATTATTGTATTTGGCGCTTACATATACAATTAATTACTTATAGTACAGGTTTTTGTTTTGTTGAATCTCAGTTTTCATCCTCCATTTCTTTATTTTTTACAAACTTGCTGGAAGATCAAACCATTGCAAATAAAGTAAAATACTGCAGCTATACCAAATTGTAAGCAAAAGAAATTGGATGATCGAGATGTAATTGCAAGCGATCTAAAAATGTTAAAGGTTGTTATTTTTTCATGGGATGAAAGGGTAGTACTGGAATCTACAGCGAAAAATTTTGCATTTTGTACCATAATTTGCATTAAATAAATCTCATTAAGCTAGGCAATGTAAACCGAACGAAAAAGTTTGCTAATTACAATATAAACTATTTTACAGTAATCATAATTATATAAATTAAAAACTAGACACGAAAATTTATCGAGAAATTGCATTTATAGTGTGCATCTCTGGACACCTTTTTGTTGTTTTGTTTTGTGTATGGGCTATAGATGTGTGTGTGTGCGAGAGAGAGGTAATGAGCCAAGACTATTAACTAATGGATTTCACCTAAAACTGTGACATTAATAAGCTACCTGGGCCGCCACCTGCGTTACCAGCATTACCTCCAGGCCCATTTCCTCCACTACTCAACACAGAGCCCATTAACGCCCCACTGGGCATTTGCTGCTGCTGCTGTTGATGTTGCATCGACAGCTGTTGCTGCATTTGCAGAGATGAGGAAAAACTGTTCGCACCCATGCCCGCATTCATTCCGACACCGACGCCCATGCCCACGCCACTACTACTCATGGGATTGGACATGATAGCCGTGGCGCCCATGACGGGTCCACCCATACCAGCTGGTGCTGCGCCGCCGCCGCCGCCTCCACTGGGCATTCCGATGCCTAGAGCTCCGCCTGGTTCGGGACTTTGGTTTTTCTTTTTACGCTTTTTCTCCTTTTTGCGTTTCTTGCGTTCCTTATCATCCTCGTGGCGCTTTTGTTTTTTGTGCTTCTTCTCGTATGTCTCCAAGCCAGCAGAATCTGAAAAGGATTCTTTTAGTTACCAGTTATACGTATTAGCCAATTTGAAAGATTTTTATTTACCCAATAACGTTGACTCTGGTCCCCCAGTAGTAATTCCGTCTTTGTGTTTGTGCTTTTTGTGCTTGTTTTTGTGTTTACGCGCAGGTGTGGCATAAGTGGTGCGGTACTGTTCTGGCAGCTGCAATGCCAATTCAGAGTATATTAGTAAGTAAAAACATTACAAGAAACTGTTTGCTCACCGGTCCAGGATGCAAACGGAAGCCGGCCAACTGCACAGGAGTCAGGGGCAGGAGTTCCTTGCCACCGATGGGCGGCTTTTCGATGACGCTGCGCAGCGTGCTGTTTTCCACGGGATGCGTGATGAGGTCATTGATGCCGGGTATGTTCGGTAGAAACGATGCCAGCGATTCCTTAAATTTTTTCTCTTTGAATTTGGTCAGCGTATGATGCAGTCCATATTCGGTCATGAGGTCTTTGTCGCCAGTTAGTTCAGCTTTCGCTGGTGGCTCCTTCATTGAGTAGAATGGACCCGTGTGTATTATCGTTGGCGTCTTCCCCAACGATATGGTTGTCTTAAGCGTCCCTGATGAGTCCTGTCGCGCCACCACGGGGGAGCGACCGCCATGCGGTGAAGATCTGGGTGAGTCCATCATTATATTGCCGTAGTTGTTCATCATTTTTGAGCAACTCGACAGAGGCGGGGCGGTTCGGATTCGGTCAAAGAGTTAGGCACACACAAAAACAATAGCAACAACWATGCTGCACCAGCAGCAACAACAACAAGGCCAGACAGCGTAGCAAAATTTTGCAATCGGTTTGAGTTGCTGCCGCACACACAAAAAGCGAGCAATATACGCTCAGCTTATTATTGCGGCCGCGCCGACACTTTAATGTATATTTAATCAATTATTGCGCACGTTTTATTACGATTTTCTATATTCAATTTGTAGACGAAACTCTCGCCATCTTGTTGTGTTCACGTACGAGTGTGACCAGCAAGCGAGCAACTGAATAAAGGCGACACATTGTTGAATAGAAATTCAACCACTGATGACAGAAATTTGCTTGTGACCTGCAAATATATCGAAACTGGGCCACTATCGATATATTGGCCAGTCGCCATCACCAGTTTGCCGTGTTCTAGCGTAGCGTACCGTGTAATTTTCGTTAGAACTTTGATAGAAACGTCAAAGTTTTGTTTTTCGGTTTTAGAGAAAGCTATTTTACAAATTCTACAGCAATGCAATCCACACTACGCAGAACTGTGACAGCTGTGGCCAAGGTACAAAGATATAAACCCACTTCACCAGCTTAGTCCAATTGGGTTATGCAATTCTAACCTAAATAGGTCATAACTTTCGCATTAAATGCATTAGTAGTCGATCATAGTGACGTCGCAAACTGTGCGTATTCAAATGTCAAGGTCGTATATTAGACCAATTATCAGCTGACACAGTCGTGATAAAGCCAAATGATTATCAAAAAGCGTGTTTGTGCTAAGTGCCAGCGATTAGCGTAAACACAACAAACCGTAAAAATTAAATGAGTTAGAAACTAGTGTGACCAATTAGCATTCTGATTAAATCGCTGTTCCTCATTGCAGACACCACTGCGAACTAATGCAGCCATTTTGGGGGCATTTAATTCCCGCTGCTACTCGGCCACACATGAGGCGGACATTGTGGTCATTGGCTCTGGACCCGGTGGCTATGTTGCTGCCATCAAAGCGGCCCAGATGGGCATGAAGACGGTCAGCGTGGAGAAGGAGCCCACTCTCGGTGGCACCTGCCTGAATGTTGGCTGCATTCCATCGAAGGCTTTGCTAAACAATTCACACTATTACCACATGGCGCACTCCGGAGACTTGGCCAGTCGAGGCATCAACTGTGGCAGCGTCACGCTTGATCTTGAGAAGCTGATGGGACAGAAGACAAATGCTGTTAAAGCTCTAACCGGAGGCATTGCAATGCTGTTCAAGAAGAACAAAGTTACACAACTCACGGGCTTTGGCAGCATCGTCAGCCCCAATGAAGTGAAGGTGGCCAAGAGCGACGGCACAACGGACACCGTTAAGACCAAGAACATATTGATCGCCACTGGATCGGAGGTTACTCCCTTCCCTGGCATTACTGTAAGTATGTTCTAATCTCAACTATTCGGTTATGGATATAGATATTTGTGTTCTGCAGATCGATGAGGAGGTCATTGTGAGCAGCACGGGCGCTTTGAAGCTGCCCCAGGTGCCCAAGCGCATGGTTGTGATTGGCGCTGGTGTGATTGGTCTGGAGCTGGGCTCTGTTTGGTCGCGTCTGGGCGCTGAGGTTACTGCCATTGAGTTCATGGACACCATCGGTGGGGTTGGCATCGATAACGAGGTGTCCAAGACCTTCCAGAAGGTGCTCGTTAAGCAGGGACTCAAATTTAAGCTTGGTACCAAAGTAATGGGCGCCACTCGAAACGGCAACACTGTCAGCGTCTCCGTGGAGAACGCCAAATCGGGTGAAAAGGAGCAGATCGAATGCGACACGTTGTTGGTGTGTGTGGGACGCCGGCCCTACACTGAGGGGCTTGGATTGGAGGCTGTAGGTATTGTGAAGGACGATCGTGGTCGCATTCCCGTCAATGCCAAGTTCCAGACGGTGGTACCGAGCATCTACGCCATCGGAGATTGCATTCACGGCCCAATGTTGGCCCACAAGGCCGAGGATGAGGGCCTAATCACCATCGAGGGCATTCAGGGTGGACCAGTGCACATTGATTACAACTGCGTACCCAGCGTGGTGTACACACATCCCGAGGTGGCGTGGGTGGGCAAATCTGAGGAGGCGCTCAAGCAGGAGGGCGTTGCCTATAAAATTGGCAAGTTCCCCTTCCTGGCGAATTCGCGTGCGAAGACGAACAATGAGACCGATGGCTTCGTCAAGGTGCTCGCCGATAAGGCAACGGACCGCGTTCTGGGCACCCATATCATTGGCCCGGGTGCCGGCGAGCTGATCAATGAGGCCGTACTGGCCATGGAGTATGGCGCTTCCGCGGAAGATATTGCCCGTGTCTGTCACGCACATCCAGTAAGCTAAAATAGATTGTCCCCGCTGTAAGAAGTGTATTGTAATGGAAATTTGTTCTCTTTGCAGACTTGCGCTGAAGCTTTACGCGAGGCAAATGTTGCGGCCGCTTTTGGAAAGCCAATCAACTTTTAATGAGAACCCCATTTTAGTGTACTGATTTGAAATTGGAAATGCTAATATCTCCGCTTATATGAAATTCTCAATGTGCAACTGTAACGAAACATGTCCGATCAATATATATTGCCAATTGCAATGCAATGTAGTTAACAATGTATGTTTAAAATAAAATTCTTTTGAAACCCGCGCTATATGTTAGTTACTATCGATACTGTTTTATATCGATATTAGTTTAAAAACAGCTGAGCAATATAGCAAGGCAATATTTCAAAATAAGCAATATCGATAAATGAAAGCTAATTAGTTTTTCAAACATAGTTTTTTATAGTAACACCGACTTAGAAATTAAAATGAAATCCTCAAGTTTACCCAATTATTATATGTCGTCAGCTAAATTTTCAAATGAATATTAAACTAACATCTCAAATTGGACAGTCATCGATTGTAACTGAACGACATGCGCTATCAATATCTCCGATATCATTCAATTTTGACATTTTAAAGTAGCAATGGTCACACTAATCATATAATATTTTGAACGAATTGTCAAAATTAGGTTACAGATTCCTTTTATACATTGCCAAAGATTTCGTTTTCCAATTTTCTATAGTTTAATCAAACGAACTCAAAAGAACAAAATTAATAACAGTTGCAATGTTTCGCGTTTGTAAATTATGCGTACCTCGCACCATACATGTCTCCAAACTGAAGCGTCGAATGTCTCTCGCCAAAAGGTTATTAAATGCCAGTAAAGTGCAATCATGGGAGAATACAACCAGAGAACGTATGTCCGCAACCCAACAAGCACAATTCAATTTATCTGGCAAGCAAAAAAAGACGCAATCCAACGATCAGGAAACAACCCAGACAACGACCGTGTGTTGAGTTTTGTTGATGTTTTGTGATGTAATAGATGTGCTTTAACCGACCCCTCACTCCACTTTAACAGAGTTCTCATCGCTGGCCAAGGAAAATCTTTAGTGGCATTCAGCCAACAGGATCAATGCATTTGGGCAACTATTTGGGCGCAGTGCGGAAGTGGACGGAATTGCAGAAGAAACGCGAAAATATTACCATTAGCATTGTGGACATGCATTCAATAACAATGCCGCATAATCCACCAACATTGCGTGATAATATTTTCACGATGGCTGCCACGCTGCTCGCCTGCGGCATCGATCCCTCCCACACAACATTGTTCGTCCAGTCTTCGGTGATGGAGCACAGCGAATTAAATTGGATACTGAATTCCTTAACCACGATGCCGCGATTAGCTCAGCTGCCCCAATTCAAGGAGAAATCGCGAACCGTACGCGATGTACCCCTGGGTTTGTTTGTCTATCCGGTACTCCAGGCGGCCGACATTATGCTATATAAGTAAGTCTACCCTGTTAGCTAATGCCTCAACTAACTCTTGACTCATTTTATCTATATAGAGCCACCCATGTGCCCGTTGGATCGGATCAATTGCAACATATTCAATTGGCACAGCACCTGGCGCGCGCTTTCAATGCACGGTATGGCGACATGTTTCCGGTATGCAATGCCATTATAGAGGAAAACGATGGCTCACGGATACTTTCCTTGCGTGAGCCGTCGAAGAAGATGTCCAAATCGGATCAAAATCCGAAAGGCACCATCAATCTGAGCGACTCACCCGAGCAAATTATCGAGAAGATTAAAAAGGCCCTCACAGACTTCACCTCGGACATCTCGTACAATCCGGGCATGCGGCCGGGTGTTAGCAATCTAGTGAACATCCATGCCCAAGTCACAGGTCAGAGCATTGACACTGTGGTGGAGGAGGCCAAACAGTTGGACACGGCGCAGTATAAGGAGCGTGTTTCGGAAGCAGTCATTGAGCATCTGCGCCCCATTCGAGAAATGATAAATAAGCATTTGAATAACCGCAACGAACTCATCTATGTGCTGGAAATGGGCTCGGAGAAGGCACGCAAAATGGCGCAGGCGACCATGGCGGAAGTGCGGCAGCGTCTCGGATTGGGCATCTCGGGCGTAAGTCCGGCCAGTGTATTGGTGGCGCCCCCACTGCCGGATCACTCAAGAATAACGGCCAGTCAGCGTCTGGTTAAGGGCGTCCTTCGTCCGGATAGCCAGCGAACCGAGACGGGCTATAGTGGTGGAGCCGCTGCTGTGGGTGGAGATGCTGGCGATGCGATCAGCGGAGAAATGGGTGGCAAACAGGGACTGCGGAAATCTCGTCATACGGTTGTGCCCATCCAGACGATGCGTGTGGAGAAATCCTTCAACCGTTCGCCGTCACGGCACACCTTTAAGCTGGACAATTACAATATGCCTAAAATTGGGTTTCGCGATGCCAATGTAAGCCTGAACTCCGCCATTCCTGCTCGGGCCGATCAACGTGGTGGTCGTCGCAATACGTTTGGCTTTGTGGCGCCCAATGCTTTGGGCTCTGTCAATAATATGTCCGCCCTGAAGTATGGCAATTCGAATCCCAGTGCCTTGGCTTCCGTGACGAGTCAAGTGAATGCGGTGTTCAAGCAGCAGGAGACGATCAGTAGTCTGGCCAACAGCGCGTTCTATAAGGCAGCGTCCACCTCCTTCAACAGCCTAAATCCCAATGTCGTCAATGTGGCAGCCAAGACTCTCCATAATCGCAACAATCAAACGACGGCAGCTGTGTGCAGTGCGCCTTCTGCAAGCATTGCAAGCAGCAGCAACAGTAGCAGCAGCAGCAGCAGCAGCAGCAGCAGCAGTAGCAACAACAACAACAACAACAGCAGCAGCAGCAGCAGCAGTAACACTAGCAATGCCACGAGCAAGTCCAACACTAAGGCTGAGACCAATACCAATAGCACGGGTAGTGGAGCCCCTGCGACGAAGACCACGAGTGCTTCCACTGAGGAAGAGGTTGAATCAAATGTCGAAGATCATGAAGATGAAGAAGATGATACAGCAACAACAGAGACTTTGGTGGAGAAAATTAATTAGAGTAGACTGGGTGTATAATTGCAATTGTTTTTAGTATAGTCTGATAACCCAAAAATCGCTTGTAATACATTGTGATCTATTTATGCTAAATGGTTTACATACCTGATTTTGGAACAGCGCGCCTCGAAATGGGTAGCATTGCTTATGTTATTATGAATGTTAATAAACAGTGCTATCGGCAGTGCCGATAGTCATGGTATTTCGGTACTTGTCAAATGCGGGCACTCTGTTCAATCTCTTCAGTATTTTTTCTTCATAGTTCGTGCGGTTCGGTTGTGCGCGCGCTCGCAATACAACGACGTTCCGCATACATAGTCTGTCTCTGCCTCAACCTGTGTTACCTGTGTTTGGTGTTTGATGTGTCTGTGTGCGTAATTCCATATATTTTGTCTGTTTGTACGTACGAAGTAACGAAAATCACATACCAAAGGCTATGCAAATGCGTTGCCAACGTTACGCACGCGTAGAAATACAAAACCCAAGTGCTAACTCGTATTCATATAAAAAAGCCGCAAAGTGATTTATATCAGGCCGAACCGCGCGCCAAGTGAAAGTGCAACAAATACAATCACACCAAAACTAAGCTGCGTCAAATAAAACGTATTAATTATTTAAAAAATAGGCAAAAACCAAATTGCTCAACTACCTGTTCTACAGAAGTCCGTCGGACGCATCAACAGCAGCAGTAAGAGAAACAGCAGATCAAAGAGAGGTGCGCAACAAATACAAGAAATCTAACTGTTGCTTCTTCGTTGTCTCCGTGTATGCGTGTGTGCGTGTGAAGTGCATGCTTCAAAAACTTCATTTCATCTTGTGCTACATCTAACGGTTGTTTTTGTTTTTTAAGCACATAGAAGAAAATAACTAAACAAATATTTTGCACAACAGTTTTAACAGATGCGTTTACTGTTTTACATAATTCGGGACAGCAGCTGGTTTGTTGGCTGTTCTATTTAGGCGCTTATTAGCGGTAGATCTTGTTAGTCAGAGTTAAAAAGTTTGAGAGTTGTTTGTTGTCAAACCACACAAACCGCAGCTAAGTACTAAAGCACCAGTAATTCTATGTATAAATAAATAAATTTATTATAATAAATACGAATTAATTACACATTTCTATATGCCATTTAATAGCTAATAATTTATCATTTTTGAATCATGACATTGTTTTACACGCAATGCTGTTACTGTTATTGATTCTCAAACTGTAAGCGGTTGGGGCGGTATTGCTTCTCTGAGCATCTATTTTTACTGTTAATTGCATACACTATGAGTAGTAGAAAAGGAGCATATTGGCTGTGGGCAAAATACCTATGAGTTTTATGTTATTTACTCATGAAAGTCTTAAGTTATATTATATGTGAGTCTCACTGTTATTGAAGCTACAGTTTTAGCTGCACTAGATCTCAGTTTTTATTTTTGAACTCTTACGCTATAAACAGAGCATCGCGCAGTCGCTTTCAGTATTTGCCTTCATTTGTTGTACACGCAATTAGTCAAATGACTTGTGTTAGTTTTAGTTTCTGTTGTCTACAAATTAGTTGTAACATTTGCACAAATGCGAAATTCGCATTTGCCTTCTTTTTTTTTGTTTTTGTTGCCATTTGATTGCAGTTGGTAGTTGTTATTATTGTTGGGTTAGCCATGTTGTGCCAGTTGGTGCTATCGCCGGCGCTAACGTTGGCGTCGACGTCGACATCGACTCTTTTTGCATGGTTTATTGTTTTTTACGGCTTGGTTTGACTCTTTGGCTTTTTCTGTCTTTGCTTTTGAGGAAGTTATTATGAATACCCTGTTTTAAATTAACGCAGCGGCTTTGATTAGTTTAAGTGCGTGAAATGCTGTTAAAACTGTGACGCATCATAAACTATAGAAAAAAAAAATTTAAAAAAAAGTGAAAACAAAATGAAGATATGTAGAAAAATTATAAA